TCACACGGCTTCCCCTCAAGGCTCTTCACCGTCTTTGTTGCCCTCCTTTGGACACTCTTTAGTAGCCTAATGTCTTTCTTATATTGTGGTGCCCAAAACTCCACACAATATTCAAGGTGAGGCCGCCCCAGTGCAGAGCACAGCGGGACAATCCCCTCCCTCGACCAGCTGGCGATGCTGGGCCTGATGCCCCCCAGGACACGGTTGGCCCTCCTGGCTGCCAGGGCACTGCTGACTCATATTCAACTTACCATCGACCAGGACCCCCAGGTTCCTTTCCATGGCACAGCTTTCCAGCATCTCATTCCCCAGTCTGTGTGGACATTCAAGGTTGCCCCATCGCAGGTGCAGAATCCGGCACTTTCCCTTGTTGAACTTCATAGGGTTGGTGATTGCTCAGCCCTCTCATTTGTCCGGGTCTCTCTGCAGGGCCTTTGAGGGAGTCAGCAGCTCCTCCCAGTTTTGTATCATCTGCAAACTTGCTTAGTATTCCTTCCAGTCCTGACTCCAAGTCCTTTATGAAGATGTTGAAGAGCACAGGGCCCAAGATGGAGCCCTGTGGCACCCCAGTGGTGACAGGTCTCCAGTCTGATGTTACTCCGTTCATTGTAACCCTCTGTGCTCGACCCGTGAGCCAATTGCTCACCCACCACATGATGTGTTTATCCACCTGTGTGCTGGACAGTTTGTCCAGAAGGACACTGAGAGACAGTATCAAAAGCTTTACTGAAATCCAAAAAGATGACATCAGCTGGCTTTCCTGGATCAACTTAGGTGGGTTACCCTGTCATAAAAGGAAATCAGGTTTGATAAGCAGGACTTTGCTCTCATGAAGCCATGCTGGCTGTGATCAATGACTGCGTTGTCTTTCATGTTTTTTTCAATACCTCCCAGAATAATCTTCTCCATAACTTTACCAGGCGCTGAAGTGAGACTGACAGGCCTGTAGTTTCCAGGGATCTCCTTCTTGCCTTCCTTGAAAATCGAGACAACATTCACCAGCTTCCAATCAGCTGGGACCCATCCAGATTCCCAAGGCCACTCAAAATCATCAAGAGGGACTTTGAGATGACATCAGCAGCTCTTTGAGGATTCTGGGATGAATCCCATCAGGCCCCATAGATTTGTAGGGATCCAGCTGGAGCAGCAGGTCCTGCACAATTTCAGAGTCAACTGGGAGTTGATGATTCTCTCAGTCATGGTCCTCCAGCTCAGGGCACTGAGACCCCCTTGGTCCATCATCCATGTTGAAGACAGGCAAACACCTCTGCCTTGTCTCTGTCCCTGTTTGGGAGGTGACCATCCTCATCCTGTAACGGGCCAATGATATTTCTACACTGCCTATTACCATTAATATATTTGAAAAAACTCTTATTATTGTCCCCAACATTTCTGGCAGCTACAACTCCAGCTGAGCTTTGGCTGCATGAGTTTTCTCTCTACAGTGGCAAGCAGCATCTCTATTCTTCCCATGTCACTTGACCTTGCTTCCGCTGAGCATGCACTTCCCTTTTATGCCTTATTTCCAAGAGAAGAAGCCTACTCAGCCAAGCCGGCCTTCTGCCTGACCTGCTTGATTTCCAGCATTTGGGAATTGCTGCTCCTGTGCCCTTAGGAGGTGATGTTTGAAAAGTGACCAGCACTGATGGACCCCAGCACCTGCAAAAACATTTTCCCAGGAGACCTAACTTACTAATTTCATGAGCAGCCTGAAATCTGCTCTGGTCATGTTTAGAGTTGAGGTTTTACTGGCACTTTTCCTTCTGTCAACAGAGATTTTAAATTCAATCACCCTGTGGTTGCTGGTGATGTCAGGTGGCACATCTTTCCACTTTATATTCTGTTGGCTGTGCTGTTTATTCCCTCATGTCTCAGTAGACCTTCCCTCTGACCAAATCGTCATCAAGATCACGGTCACATCATGGTGTGTTGTAAAAGGTATCATTTGGCTGGGGAGAGGATATAGTCTCACTATCCCATAGAAAGGAACAGGGTCATAATTTTCTTGATCTAGCACCACCACTGTCAGTAGTATGCAGATGGAACAATTAAACCAAATTGAGTATTTAAATTCAAGAAGCTTTCAGTTGTTTTCACAATGTTGATCAAATTTGATCAAATTTTTGTAAGTAAAGTTCAGTACATCTCATTTACCCTCCTCAAGCTTTGAATGAAAAAGTAGAAGTAATGAAAATTCTGTAAGTTAGAAAATCAGTGCCTCTACTTTCTTAAAATTTATGGTGGTTAGTGTTAAAAAGAATAATTTCATCTGTCTTTCCCTGGGCAATAACAGAACTGAGGAGAAAATGTATTTATTCCCACTTAGTAGCTCAGAAACAGATGCTTTGCAAAAGAATTACTCCAAGAGATGACAGTTCAATGCACTGTTGCCAAAATGGGAAAATGAAGTTATTAATGGCCTTTCTAAAAGCAGGGTTGTTTAGATTGCAAACTCTTGTGATGACTGCTACATTTCTGAAAAAATGCTTGAAAAAGATGGCAGATGTATCTAGGGGGAAAAGCAGGAAACACTTTAAACCAAAACCCACCCACGCTGTGTGCCCTGCTTTTATATGTGTATGGATCAAAAGCAAATATTTTATGCTGAAGGTTTCAGCATTCAGGGGTTTACCTTCTTGAGGAGGACAAATTATGGATTGTGGGAGAATTTATTTCCGTAAAAGTGGTTAAAATTTGGTTGTTTCACAAAAATTTTACAGATGTAATTTTGTGTTTTAAAACATCAGTTTTGGGTTTACTTTAGGGACATTGAATAAATATTTTCTTAATAACAAAAATTATGTATTGAATGTAATTGATCCCCATGCAGCGCTACAGACTGGGGGCAGAGTGGTTGGAGAGCAACCAGGCAAAAAGGGACCTGGGAGTTTGGATTGACAGGAAGCTGAACATGAGCCAGCAGTGTGCCCAGGTGGCCAGGAAGGCCAATGGCATCCTGGCCTGGATCAGGAACAGTGTGGCCAGCAGGACCAGGGAAGTGATTCTTCCCCTGTACTCAGCGCTGGTGAGGCCACACCCAGAGTGCTGTGTCCAGCTCTGGGCCCCTCAGTTCAGGAAGGACATTGAGGTGCTGGAGCAGGTCCAGAGAAGAGCAACAAGACTGGTGAAGGGACTCGAGCACAAGTCCTATGAGGAGAGGCTGAGGGAGCTGGGGTTGTTTAGCCTGGAGAAGAGGAGGCTCAGAGGAGACCTCATCACTCTCTACAACTCCCTGAAAGGAGGTTGTAGCCAGGTGGGGGTTGGTCTCTTCTCCCAGGCAACTATCAGCAAGACAAGAGGGCATGGTCTTAAGCTCTGCCAGGGGAGGTTTAGGTTAGATATTAGGAAGAAATTCTTTACAGAACGGGTAATCAGGCATTGGAATGGGCTGCCCAGGGAAGTGGTGGATTCTCCGTCCCTGGAGGTTTTTAAGATGAGACTGGATGTGGCACTTAGTGCCATGGTCTAGTAACCATGGCGGTGTTGGATCAAGGGTTGGACTTGATGATCTCGGAGGTCCCTTCCAACCCAGCTGATTCTATGATTCTATGATTCTATGTTAGCTATGAATAAAAGTGAGTCTTGTTTTCAGTAAGGATAGCATTCTGAGGGACAGCAGTGTGCTTTGTCCTATTGCCACAACAAAGCATGCAGAGAAGCTTTTCTCTCAAGCAAGACTTTATAGTCAGAGGGTTTGAGGTCCTCCTTGAGCCTTGTGGATCCGACTGTAATGCCAACTTTGCCCTCCTGGACACTAATGTCAGGGGTATCTTCTCAATGTTTTTTGTACGAGGGTCAGGAAGCACATAGTCTGGTTCAGCATCCATCCATCCATCCATCCATCCATCCATCCATCCATCCATTGCACCTGCAGTGTTGCACCATCCACACGCCATTATCTTGTCCTTGGTCTTTCAGCTGAGCATGATATTTCTTCCACAAACTATTGCATACTGGTTGCTGAAGCTAACTAGCTTCAGTCAGCTACCTGAGAGGCAACTGTGCTTTCTGTATGTGACATTTCAAAGAAGAAGACAATATAAGAATTTTGTTGATACCCCTTATTTTGCAAGTAAATATGTCTGCTGGTGGTTTTGTGACAATACTCATGGTGTACAGTTGATGCAGAAAAAAATTTGCTTTACTTAGTTTTTAAAATAAGAACTTTTCACATTTGTTTACCAGAACAGTGTCTAAGGAGGGATTGTTAGAGTAGGCTTTTTGTAGGAGAAATAAGTCCTTTGTGGACCTGTTCTTGATGAGAGATTTGTTGGAGAAAAATTTTCAGCTTCAAAGTGGAGTATCTGTCAAAGGAGAGGAGAGGGGAATGCATGTTTGCACAGAGCCTGGAACAGTTCAGTGGATACTTGCTTGGGCCAGAAGGGATCTTGCTTTGATCAGAGATACTAAGATGCCTTTAAATTCAGGCAAACAGTGGCACAGGACTGGTGTAAAACTAGAAGACATCTTGAAAACCACTTGTATTTACTGTTTGGGGGGGTTTCTGGTCATTTTAGAAACAATACTTTTCTCACCCTTATCAACAATTCCTAGTAAGGCAAAAAAACCACTCCACTTGACTCCCTGATAGAAATATGGTGTTTGCAAAATTACCAGACACCTACTTTACTTTTATCAGCCACTGTCAGTGAATACTGCAATAATAATAGCAGTAATAACAATACAGGTACTGCTTTGCGGGGCCAATAATTGCAGAACTGTTACTGCTATACAGCTTTCCTGTTGGGGGTGTTACATTTATAGGGTTTAGGAGGATTCACAGAGTAACCAATTACCAATTGCAGGAAGGGGTTAAAACAGTCCCCCTCCTAATTTTTTTTTTTAAAGAGCAGTGCTGTGATGTAGTTTTTCATCCATCTTCAAGTATTTGCACGTCAAACCTCCAGCAACACGATGAAAATGCTTTCTGATTCTGTTGCCTTCCTCTTCTCTAATATTACTTCTACAGATCTCTTTAAATTATTTTGCTTTCCCTGCAGATTGCTGGTTGGAGCTCCTCGGGAAAAGGCCTTTCCAGCCCAACAAGCCAACAGAACAGGAGGACTGTACAGCTGTGACATTGCATTTCCAAATAAAAATTGCATACGTATCAAATTTGATGAGGAGAGTAAGTTTTTCAGTGCTTTTGTTTTTAATTTAAAGAGTTGTCTGATTTTTCTTGTTTGATGTCCTTTCCAGAGGCAGTGTATCAGATAGTTGCTTCTAGGAATTTATACATAACTCCTTTTTGCATCAGTACTGCTGAGACAGTATGAGATGCTTAAATCTTGGTAGATTCTTACTCTTTTGTAAATTGATGTAACATGAAGTAGTAGGCTAGAAATGTTTATTAAAATGGATGTTGTTAGTGATAAAATGTACAGACAGTGCCACCTGCAGACTGTGTGGTGTTCTGTGTGAAGTGCTTCTACTGATAGACTTCAAAGAAAAAGAAAAGTAAAAAGAAAATGTAGTTAACTCTTAATATTTTAAGTTGTATTATGATACTCTGCAGCTGACCCGAAGATGGAGAGTAAAGAGGACCAATGGATGGGTGTAACTGTCCAAAGTCAGGGGCCAGGAGGAAATGTGGTGGTAAGTGTAAAGAACTAACTTATAAAAACATTTGAGGTCTACAGTAAATGTTCTAAATGGTCTGTGTTTCTATGCAGCTTGCTGAAAGGTAACTTGCCTAAGTTTACTCCTGTGATTCCTTGTAGGTAAAGACATAAATATCTCCTTAGCAAAGTAAGGCACTTGAGATTGTAAGAACTTTAAATTAGCCTCTCTTATAAAGAGATTTAGCCTCTCTTTATAACCTTTGTAACAATCTAGGATGGACAGTTTTCAAGGGTGCCAGTTATTTTTTGTCATATACACATTATTTCTTTTAAATATCGCAGAAATAGGGAAGAGTAGTGTAGGTCATGAAAGTAGCAGGTTGTCATCAGTTTGTTTTCCAGGATGATCAAGCTCACTTTACCTTTCATCAGGGACTTTGTCTCAGTTGCATCTGTGAATTAATATGGTCATTACACTGCAGTAAGACAACTAACTATTCTTTATTTTATACAGTACAGAGATACTTTTTATTTTATGCTAAACAGAGAGAAAAAGCTTTTGGGAGTTACCAGAGAATGTTATTTTTTAAAGTCTTTCTCAGTTAAATAAACCTCTCATGGTGCTTCAGGATACCAGCTACATCATAAAATAGGTCTGCAGTGAAGCTTCCCCATCTAATTATATTTTTGCAGGTTAATGTCACTGCTTCCAAAACTGGAAGCAGGTGACTTCAGCGTGTGAATCAGGTTATTTAAGGGTATTTAAGGGTATAGAAGCAGTAATAACTAGGTTCCGTCTGCCTCAGAACCCAAGGGGGAGAAAAGCAGATGTAAGCAGTCCTGTTCATTAACTGATTGTTCATCACCTAATGCTGTCTTGTCTTTTCTGAGAAGGAACTTTTCTTTGTGATTGGTAAATGGGAAATGCACTTATTAGATGAGATGTGGGCAACCTGGAGGTCACTGTGCAGCAGGACAGTACTACAGTGCTCTAAGTGTGGAGCCTTGATAGGAACCATAGAAAAGGTTTGTCAGCTGAGAAACCTGACTTGCTTGTGCTCTTCACACACCTGCTACATCTGGCTCTGCAAGGAATACTGCTGGCAAAGGGGTTTGATTGTTCACATTTTTTTTTATAATGGTTTGGCAATTACACTGCTTAACCCAGTGGTTATTCATCCTTTGTGTTAAATATTTGATTAGAATTCTGTTCCCAGGGGAACAGTCTAAAAGGATAAGGAACAGGATGTGCTTAGTGCTGCAGCTCTGTCCCAGTGAGAGTTACCCTGTAAGTGGAACATCCAACATAGGAAGTAGGAACAACTTCCCTTCCCTTCATTGGAAAAGCTTTCAGCCTCTGCTTAGTGGCACTTTTCTGGAAGGGGAGAGTTCTGAATGGTCTCAGATAGATGGTAGTTGAACCAGCTTCTCATGTCCTGAACAAGCATGTAAGTTATTTAACTCTGAGGGATGTGATGTTGGGAAACACAGACGCTTCTTTCTTTGTGTGAGAGAGAGTGGTTCTCTCCTCACTTCTTGAGAGGGTTTAGGTGTTGGGAATGGCTTTAGGGATTTAACCATGTGGCCTTCCTTGACCATGAAGCTGGCTGCTTTGACTTCATCTGTAGCTGCCCAGCCTTTCCCATACATTGCCCAGAGGAAACATTGGGCTCTGCGTTGCAACAGAGATATGTCTACAAGGTGCCTTACAGCACTGTTGGCATGAAGGATTGCTGAAGGAGACCAGCCTTCTTGGATGACTTGCATACAACATACAGAAAACATCACCTATTATTTCTTCTGTCTTGCAGACCTGTGCACATCGTTATGAGAAAAGGCAGTATGTAAACACAGTGCAGGAAACCCGGGATATCATTGGAAGGTGCTATGTGCTGAGCCAGGACCTCACTATTAAGGATGATATGGATAATGGAGTTTGGAGTTTTTGTGATGGTCGTTTAAGAGGCCATGAGAAGTTTGGTTCCTGTCAGCAAGGTGTTGCTGCTACTTTTACTAGAGACTATCATTATATTGTGTTTGGTGCCCCAGGCACTTACAATTGGAAAGGTATGACTTGGCTTCCTTCCTGCCTACCCTTCCCATTTCCTCTGAGGTTGCTCTCAAGGGTTGCATCCAAAGTTTTACATTTTTTTTTGGTTTTTTTTTTTGGATGGGAGAGGGGATAATAGGGATGTAATGATTTAACCCTCTTTTCACAAAATGCTATGCTTCTGTATCAAAATTATTTACTGCAGTTTCTTTAAATATCCTTGAAGTATATGAATAAATAATGGAACTTTGCACATTTGTACAGCAATTTTTTCCCTTATAAGTCTAATCTTATGGTGGGATTGAGGGCTTACTTTGACAAGTGGAACAAATCACTAAATTTTTAAAAATTATTTGACCAGCCTTTTTCAGCGTTTGAGCAAATGTTAGATAGCTGCACTGAGATCTTTATCCTGCAGTGTTCTCCACTCTATTCTTTGTGAAGTCTCTGAACAGTAGTACTTTCCAAATTAAATACCGGAGAGTTGCAGGAAGATAACTGAACAGAGCAATTTGACATATATTCATACCTAAATCCATGCATATCCATGTAAAATTTCATGGGTAATCTGTCTAAGAGCCAAGTACTGTGTATCATCCAGGAGATATTCCAAAACTGAGGGGAAAAAACCATAAGATATTCTCTGTTAGTTTGTGTTGAGAAGCATCTAAATGGCCAGCTCAGTCTCTTGAAGTGATTTTTCCCATCACACTTCATTACACCAACAGCTGTGAATTCTTCCCTCTTGAGAACATCTGATCCTCCAACCACTATGTTTTTCCACCTCGCACACCTGTGCCTGCCACCTGAACCGTGCAAAATCGTTGAGTTAAGCTCTGGCACAAGGTGTACTTTAGTGAAAACTTAATCTTCCACATATCTGTCAACAAAATCTGACCAAGCTGAAACAGCATATTGAGTTCAGACACCATTTTATTTCAATTGCATAGAAGTGCTAGGACAGTCCAAAGACTTCTCTTCTGTATAATGGAAAAACATGTTTGTGCTTGCCAAAACATTAAATATGCCTGTTGATAAAAGGGAAGCACACATTTTATTGAACAATAGCTCTTTCCCCTTAAATACCGTTTCTAAATATACCACTGGTGTTTGTCATAGCTGAACAGTAGTTTTATTTTTTTTTAATTCCTGTGTACTTATCTCCCTTTTAAGAGAAGCTTTATGAGGCTAAGAAATGATGAGGGTAGTTTCTGACCAGATTGGTTCCATGTGTTTTTGAGAATTTTCTTAGTATCCCATGTTTTCCAGATCATTGTATGGCCTCTGTAGAGCAGCATGAGCTTCTGCCACACAGATAGAACAGAGAGAAAACACTGTTCTCTCAGTGCACTATTCTGCGTTTGTCCCATTTTAACAGCACTCACTATCTCATTCAACATAATTGATATAAGTTGGGAACCATTTATCTGTTATTTTTCTCACCATTCATTTGCTTTTATTTTATCATTTCATTTTTTCAGGGGTGGTTCGTGCAGAGCAAAAGAATCAGACATTTTATGATCTGGGTATCTTTGATGATGGGCCTTATGAAGTTGGTGATGAGAGCCGCCAAGATAAGAATCTAGTTCCTGTTCCAGCTAACAGTTACTTAGGTAGGATTAAATACATATGGTAAATCTCTTTAGGCCTCTTAAACATTTATGATCCCAGTCTGGTGTGATGATACAAAATGGGGGCAGAAGATCTTTCATTGTGGCCCTGTAACGTGTTCACCATTTTGGATAATTCACATTTATGGGCCAGTTTTAAGTGTAAGATGATACTGCTGAAGTATCTGGAAGAGCTGCCATTGTAATGTGAGATTCAAGAGCTGTGATGAGGATCTACGGAATCTCAGGGAGTGATTATAATCACTGTGATGGTGCAGTACAGTGTATAGATCTGCAGTCCTTAGTCACAGGGTCTCTGCTGTGTACTGTCAGAAGGCTTATCAAAATTTGAGTTTCTGGATGTAATTGTTAAGACTGCAGATTTTCTCTCCTCGTAGATGGGTGCAATTCTTTTGTTCTTCAAGTTTTTAAAACTCCAATGGCCTTCTTACAGACCTTTAAAATATCGTAATATAAGTACTGTTTATATTTTGTGTATGTGTTGCAGGAGGTGTCTTGTCTTTTGTGGGCTTACGAAAACAGAAATATGTCTTTAGGCCACTGGATCTTTCTGTACACCAGTGAGATACATTGGTGCAAAGAAAAGGCTATGCTGCAATTTTGGAAAGGCTTTCAGTGTAAAGAATCTTTCTGCACTGGTGCAGATTTCTTTGTGTTGATCTACTGCTTTTGGCGTATGCGACAAATACAGTTTTGGTAACTTGAGACTGGAATTTCTGTGTGAGTGGTGGAAAACTGAACAGATGGGAAGGGCATTGCTAATCTAAAAAGTAAAAGCAAGTCAAGAAGAGAGCAAACTTAGAGCTACACATCTGTTAGTAGAAATAGAGCATAAACTTCTGTTAAATATCAGGAGTAATTATTGGGTGTAAAAATAATAATTAAAAAACCCCATCCTAAGAGCTTAAGTTAGACAAGCTGATAGCATCTTCTGGTGAAATAAGAATTGATAAGGTGAGGAGTGCTGTGGAGGTAGGTGCCTTGTGCTGCGAACAGTCATTCTGACTTTTTGCACTTTCATAACAAATACATTGATCTCCTAAATGTAAATGCTGCCTTTGATTTGTCATAATCAAAACCACTTCCAGGCAAGCCAGCTCTTCACTGGCATTTCTGTTCCCTCTGTTCAGACAGTAAATGAACATGGTTAGAGGTGTTTTGCTTAACTGCTGTTTTTTTCTCTTCAATCTTTCACTCGTGTTTACAGGTCTTCTATTTTTGACAGCGATATCTGATACTCATCCAGATCAGTTTGTGTACAAAACATTGCCTCCCAGCACACAGGTGGACAAATCAGTGGATGTAATGATGAATAGCTACTTAGGTTTGTGACCACATGAAGTGGCAGCATCTGGTCAGACATAATCTCCAGACCTTTGACACGATCCTCTCCCCTCTCTCCCCTCTCATCTCAAATACATTGTAAGCAAAGCATGTAAAACCAGGGATTCAGATGAAGAGGAGATGGCAAAGTAACTAGGATTCAGAGAAACACTGATTTGTCATGCATTTCTCCAAACCCTCTCATCCCTCCCCCAGCTGGGACTCCCTCAGTTTTTCTGGAACTGTCTCATTGTGAATTGCTGTAATTGACAGTTTTCATAGTAGTGGTGAAGTGTTTCAGAAGGGAGACTCCCATCTGCTGGCGGGTATCTTCCTACCTTGCAACATGTGCAGTTTTCTACTTTGGCCTTTGTTGGATATGTTGCTATATGCAGTATAGTCATTTAACTTGGTTTTTCATAATTTAAAATGTATTGATTTTTATAAAGAATAGGTAAGACTAAATTAATTTCAACATGTCCTTTAGGGCTGCACTAAGTTAATATTGCCAATTTCACCATTACTGTGTAAGCTGATTCTCAAATACTGTATACATCATTCATGTGGAATACTTTGCTTGTGCAATACATTTTGCATGTTTGCAACAGAATGATATTGACTTGTACTTATAATTTTGCCAGAGGTGAAATACTTGAGCTATATTCAAGTGGTAAGGTGTTGTCATTTCTAAGCTGGTATGTTTAAAAATGATCTTGTATTTGGTGTCCATGAAAAGCAGATCCAAGTGAGCAATAAAATTATACATTTTGTGGGAGAAATACTTGAATGTAATGTGTGGAGGAGTGTCAGTTTGTAAACTTGCATCCACAAGTCCAAATAGAAATGGAGAATTCCCAGCCATATCCCATATCATACTGTATTTTAGATAAAACTTGTATTCCATGTACCACTTTAATATAGCAGGGGAAATTTTTATTTTGTGTATTAAAATGCAAGCTGTTATTTAGTTTGTTTATATTTTATTTCTTTCTTTGATAAAGGTTTCTCTTTGGACTCTGGTAAAGGAATTGTCTCCCAAGATGAGATGACTTTTGTGTCTGGTGCCCCAAGAGCCAACCACAGCGGAGCAGTTGTTTTACTGAAAAAAGAGAAAAATCAGAGAGCACTTTCACTGGAGCACATGTTTGAAGGAGAAGGGCTGGCCTCTTCTTTTGGCTATGATGTTGCTGTTGTGGACCTCAACAGTGATGGGTATGGCTGTGGTTAACTCCTGCTGCCTGTACAAAAGATAACAATCTTGCTTATTTCTGCTTTGGTTTTCCCATTGTAAGTACAAGGAATACCAAATCACACCTTCCACGTTTTGCTGGAGGAAATGGCAAGCATCTTGAAGAACCAGTCAGGACATGGTCTATGTTTCTAATTATAGAAGAATTTTATTTAAACAATTAGTGTAAACAATGAAAGAAGGAACCAGTCTCATACCCAAAGAAGACCCTAGACAGAAGATCCTTGAATGCCACCAAAGGAATGAACGAGCTTGTGGTGTCAAGTGGGGCTGTTGTTGCTCAACCAGTTTAATGCATGTTTTGGTCTTTGTTCAGCAGCTCTTTGGGCAGCTGATCTTTAGCCCACAATCTGATCAGTTACTTTTCACGGTTCTGCAAAAGCACTGCTTTTTTTTTTTTCTTTTAATTCTAAGATGGCAAGACATTGTTGTGGGAGCCCCACAGTACTTCGACAGAAGCGGAGATATCGGTGGTGCTGTGTATGTCTACATCAACCGCCAAGGCAAGTGGGAAGGAGTGAAACCTGTTCGCTTGAATGGAACCGCCGACTCCATGTTTGGGCTTGCAGTTGAAAACGTTGGGGATGTTAATCAGGATGGGTATCCAGGTAAGTGGAAGACATTGACAACAAAAATGTACATGACTGTTTTGCTGATGCCAGACTTGAAACATCTTACCCTTACTGTGATTGCACATGGCAGAAAGAGCAAGAGTGATTTTAGATGTTGCAACTTACTTTCAACAGATATCGCAGTCGGGGCTCCGTATGATGGTTTTGGCAAAGTATACATTTATCATGGATCCAAGAATGGAATAAATACAAAACCAGCACAGGTAATGAAATAACCTTTAATATAAGTAGTAGTGTTGAACAAAATTAAAGAAATGATAGGGCTATCCATCTTCTCGCTTTCCATTACTATTAGTGGGGTGGTGGATATGCAGCAAACTCACAGGACCCTTCAAAGATTGCACTGCTGACTGGAAGGATTAGGAATTCTTGATATTAATACACATTTTATTTCTGGGGCTGTCCTTTGGCACTAATAGTATGTAGAGAAGGAAAAAGGCATGTAGATGTATAGTTTTGGATTTTTAAAAGTAAATCTGGTGATTTGAAAATAATTAGTTTCTTGGGTTTCTCTTTTACTACAACACTTTCTTCTTAAATAAAAAATGTTCATGCCTTTTTAGTTTTCAGGACCACTGTGTCCAGTTTGCCAGGCGAGAATGGAACTTGATTGCACTCCCTAGAATACTGCTAGATTACTTTCTAGAATACTTTTTCAGTTTCAAGTGTCTATAGTGCATAAATACTGTAAGTGAAGATAAACTAAGCAACATCTCTATGCATACGAGTAAGTTCTGATACTCACTGCTATTGCAAAGTAACTTCTTGGAAGAAAAGCAAATCATCTTGGCACTTCAGTGTCATTTACCTGAACTGAACACAGAGGTCCTATTTCACAGGTTCTATTTCATTGTTTCTCTTCCCTCTCTTTTTTTTTGGGCCATAAGACAGTTATGTTCAGTTATTTCACTTTTATAACTTTTAAATGTCTGAATTTCCTCAATCTGTTTGCTCTTTAGATTCTTGATGGTGAAAAAACAAACACCAATTTCTTTGGTTACTCTCTTGCTGGAAACATGGACCTGGATAAAAATTCCTACCCTGATATTGCTGTTGGTTCCCTTTCAGATTCTGTAAATGTGTACAGGTATCATATATAGACCCTTAACTAATTACACCAAGGTTTTGATTTTAGTTTTTTAAAAACAATTTGCTTAGTAGTAACAATGAGCTGTTGGGCCTGGAGTGTGTTTTTCCTACTAGAAGGTAGAAATTCAGGGTCGGGGGGGAGGTGGAAATTCCATAAATTGGTTTTTTTTTTATCCCCCTCTTTTCCTTGAGAAACTGCCTTGCAATCAGTTCAGGGTCAGAGGGTGAATGTGGACAGTTCCTGTGAAATGCTGGTGTGTGCAGTATACCTGTACCTTGGCTTTGCCCCATGGTAGCTTGCATGCCTGTCCTTTAATGGAATTTAAGGGTGAGAAGTAATTCCTTTGCCTTAAGGAGAAGTTAATGGATACGGTTGCTAGTGCTATTGTTTGCTGCTGTTATATAATCTAACCGTGCTTTACTGAAGATGGAACAAAGCAAAACAGAATCAACACCCACTTCCATAGCCAAGGATCCAAACCAGAGGCTGAAGCCTTGTGGAGGTTACACTGGGGTCCATGAAACAGCATTGAGGAAGGCCCTGCAGATAAGATTCTTTGGGATTTCTGTAGCACATGCCTAAATTAGGGATGAAGTCAGTCTTTTGCAGACCTCTACTTTTTTCCAGTTTAACATACTGTTAAGCTGAATCACTAGTAATGGGCAGGAAGAGGACTGTCTGTCTCATCATCAGAGCTGTGAATGCTGCATCAAGTTCAGGTCTTCGGTGGTTGCTGTCAGGTCCCAATGGAGGAGGAGCAGAAACTTCAGAACTGGTTATCTGGATTTTGGGAATGAAAAGAACTTTACTTTTCAGGCAGAACAGCCTTTCCTACAATTTATGATCCCATCTCTAAAGTGTATGATATCTGTGTACATAATTGTAATGTTCTTGAATACACTGGAACAGCACCCAGGAAAAGCAACTCACATGAACAGAGTAGGTGGAAGAGGAGTTGATTAGATAATTAAGTGTTCTGCTTACTCAAAAGGAGCTTTAATCTTTTGCTGATAAGGGCAGGACAGAAACTTTTACCAAGGTGAGAACAAAAGCCTCTAAGTTGACAAACAGTGAAAGGGGTGGCCCAGTTAAATGGAGGAGGTGGCTAACTGCCTACTTTAAACAGGCCTTAGGTGCTTTGATGAGAACAGGATCAGATCATTCATTTGGTCATGTGAAATGTCTTCTCTTGTCCCTTCCGAAAAGGAAAGTTGTGAGGCTGAATTATGGTAACAGCCTCCATGCAGAGGAATTAGGCAATGAAAACATTTCCCACAGCCACCCAGGCTCCACATTAAAACTGTTGTGAACATCAGTCTGAATGAACTTTAGTACCTACAGTTGTTCACAGGGGCTGAATTACTGTTGGGGTAGAAACCACCGCTGAATTTTCTGTTTTTCGTAAGTGTATAAAATGACAACCACAACATCACATTAGCTAGCCTGCTTTCCTGTCAGGCATTCAGTACAATGGTAGTTGTTCTTTGTTACTTGCTTTGCTTAAATAGTTTTCTTTTGTTTCTAACTAGTATCAAAGCCAAAATCTTTTTCTTGGGGTGTCTTTGTTGCAAATCAGTGCAGGTGTGGAGGGCATCTGGGATTCACATGAATTATTTCATTAATCTAAACAGAAACTTCTTTTTTTTATTCTTTCTTTTCATTCCCCATTTCCCCTCAAATGAAGATCTCGGCCTGTGATTAGCATTAGAAGAAACATTACAGTACAGCCTGACAGAATTGATCTAAAGAAAAAGAATCCTGAGGACCATAGTGAGATATGGTAAATAAAAAATTCTATCCGAAGCCTTGGTGTATTGAGTTTTCTGTTGTCAAAATTCATTCAGTGATGATGTTAAAGTGAAGGGATATGACAATTGTGCAGGTTAAGCAAATGTATCTGCATTTTGACTTCCTGAATTTCTTACAACTATTGTGCTAAAGACAAGGTGTGGAATATGTTCAGTTCATAATGTCTGCTTTTGAAAATTACTTTTAACACAAATATCTGGGCTTGAACAGCTTTCTCTTGAGTAGAGACATAGGAGCAAATGCCAGAAAATTTTTCTAATTGCTTATTAAACATTTTTTTTTGCTTTGTAATCCAGTCTGGTAAGCAGCAAATACCATAGTCATAAGACTGCTAAGATCAGTGAATGCACTATTAAAACTTTTCAGTCTGTTGGACCATGCCTTAGTAAAGTTAATATGAGTTTCTCCGTACTTTTTACAGGATGGATGTGAAAGCATGTTTCAAATATACTGCAAACCCCAGAGATTTAAATCCAAGAATAAGTAAGTTTTAAAGATAATGATTTTTGATCTGTTTGTCATGTGATTTGTTTTCTTTTTTTCTTTAGAGCTTATGATGGAAAAGTAGTACTCAAATTGTAGTGACTCATCTCAGACAGGGACTGTCAAATTTAAAATGTGACTCGTTACTAAGGTCAGATGTTGCACTATCTGTAGTTAGTCATGCTGGTGTGTTAAGCTGTTCTGTGGATGACAGAAGCTTTCTAACTGCTAGTGAGTAAATGGCTGCCATACAGACCCAAACCATTTTTCCTCTCTAGGTTACTGCTGCTTTAGACAATAGTTTAAAAAGCCCATTTTATATATCGTTAGTAAGCATTATTTCTTACTGTAGGGTTACCCTATAAAACTGGTTTTGTGGAAATCAGTAACTGAAATAAAAAAATTTGTGTTAATAGAAGACTGGAAGACTGTGCCACAATTATAGTAAAAAATGTAAAGCACTTGTTACAATGGTGCTGTTACTACCTCTTGGAGAACCGTGTAGGATTTTGAGAGGAAATTAGAAGAATTTTAAGCCCAAAGCTCATTTTCCTCCTGTGTTGAGTTTCTCCATTACTTGTAAAATCTAAAGGATGTGCCTGAATGAGGTCCTGGTCCATCAACAGGTCAAGTGCTACCAGCTCTCAGAGGCTGCTCCCTGTGTCCATCTGTGAGTGGCCTGGCACACTCAGTGCTGTTCCCATCCGTGCAACATTGAATTGGCTCAGTGAAGAGAACGATTAAAACATGCACCGAGTTCAGGTCTATCAAAACATGCCTTAGCACACAACTAGAAAGCTCTAGTCACACTTGTGCTTTCAGTGGTAAAATTAACAGTGTACTCTGACCTCAGAATCCTGCTGGCTCTCAGGTGCCATTTGGGACACAACAGGAATCCCAGACAGCCAAGTTAGGATATTTACATTGTGGTACCTCAGCCCTCTGCTGGCTCTGCAGCAGCAATTACAGCTCCCCCGTAAAGGAACGGTGTACTTTGGGAATAACAGGATTTGGTTTAGAAGTTTGCTACAGATCACGCATGGGGTACCTGGCCCTTGACTGTGGTGGGACAAAACTGACAGAAAGTTTTGTAAATAACTGAAAACAGTTTGTGAAGCCCAGGACTGGCTGAAACAATCTTCTAGAATAATGCTGTAAGATCATACCTGGAGAAGTTAAAGTTCTTTTTAATAAGGCAATGATTCTTTTTTTGTAGTGACTTATTTTATTTTTTCCACACAGAGATCAACTATACGTTTGAAGTGGAAAACGAGAGGCGGCAGCTGGGCCTGCCGTCCAGGGTACGGTTCAGTGACCACTCGTCTGATCAGTTTACTGCAAGTACAACCCTGAGGGGACAGAACTCATGGGAGTGCGTGACTACAAAGCTTGTACTACAGGTAAGGAAGAGTATTTTATTTCCTTTTCATTTAGATCCATTTAAACCAAAAAAAAAAAGCTTTTTTCTTTTTCAGCTTCATGGAAGGAATCTTTGTATATAATTTAAAAGCCACATGCAATATAAAGCTTCAAAAATAGAACCTCCCCATAGTTTAGTACTTTACTATTCCCTGCACACATGCTGCTTCCTCCTGTTGCTTTTCTTGCAAAGTATGTATAAAAGTTGTAGCCACTGCAGCATGCTCTGGAGGTCAATAGAGCTGAACTGATTTCAAACAATAGAGAGGAACTAAATGCCAGAAATGGAGAGCTATTTCCAACAGAAGTAATTGTTACAGAATTTAATGGTGTGACTGTCTAGGAAAAGAATTTTAACCCATGGGTTTTGGAGTGGATGAATGGGCAGGGCAAGAAAGCTTGGTGTGTGCTCTCTTGACTTGGCTGCTACACTGCCCGTTAACGGTGGCATTGCTCCAGGAGCTGAACAAACTCCCTCTCTGTGGCTCAGCAGGAATGAGTCCTCCTCCAAGGTTTCTTTTGACCACAGCAGATTAAAGAGCTTGAATTTATGCAATAGAATCATAGAATGTTTTGGGTTGGAAGGGACCCTTAAAGATCATCCAGTTCCAACCCCCCTGCCATGGACAGGGACACCTTCCATTAGACCAGGTTGCTCAGAGCTCAATCCAACCTATTCTAACTTTATTTTACTGCTGGAGTGTGAATTTTACCTGCCTGAATTACCATCTGTTGTTCCTAAGAATTCTTAATGGTGAGAGAAATCATCAGATTGGGAAGCCAGGAAAAAGAAAGGCAGGCTGTGCACTTTGTGTTCTTGCATGTGTTTAGAAAATGCTGTTTAGAAAAAGCTCATTTTTGTGTTGTTTTTCATCTCTGCATGGTATACTAACTATGCCATTTATTTTAATATTTTATTTAATATTTTAACAGGAAAAAATTAAAGATAAGCTACGTCCCATTCCAGTATCAGTCAGTGTTAAAATTGCTGGCCTGGAGTCTAGCTCACCGTCCACAAGAAAAGAGAGTACACTTCCAGATCTTATACCAATTCTAAATTCAAATGAATCTGAAACAAAGACCACAAAAGTAAGCCTTTGATATCACATATTCATATAAATCTGCACATCTATAAGTAACTGAATTTTAAAGACTGTAGAAAGCTAAATGATGGCCAAAGGAAACAACTGGGGTGGCACTGGACTTGCAACTACTGGCTTATTATTTTATATTTTGTTCTGAACTTGTTAGCACATGTTATGAACTAGATCCTGCGTTTATTTTGCAACAAAAGTGAAGATGGCATAGCTGCTAGGGTTTTTTCCCTCTCCCCAGCAAGTTTAGGAGGAAATGTACTTTTGATTAAAAATGGAAATCCATTGTCTCCTGCTGTGAACACTTGTCTCACATAACAAAATAATGTACAGTTTAATCCTTCCGCTGGATGTTGTAACAGCCTTTGAGCAATGACTGCAGTAGTGATGTAAAAGGGAGAGAATATCTCAGTTAAAAGTTTGCATTTCCTCAGTGCTCACTGAAGAATCAGACTTAAGGATGTATTTCCTTATTAGAAGGGTACCTCTCACTTAGAATTATCCAACTCTGCTTTTTAGTTATATTTCAAGTTCTAAATTACCAAGATCAAGGGCTATATATCTCACAAAGAAAAACTTGACAGGCAGGTGAAAATCTGACCTCTGTCCAGGAAAGTGTCTCTGAGTTCCGCGTAGATGCTTTATGCAGTGCACTTGAGAAATCTTGTTTTAAGCTACTATCGTATGTCAGGCGGTAAAATTGCTTTGGTTTTATTTAGGTGGAGTTCTTAAAAGAAGGATGTGGAGAAGACAATGAATGTCACAGCAATCTGAAACTTCAGTACCGGTTTTGCACTAGAGAAGGAAATGAAGACAGGTTCACTTCTCTACCGCTGTAAGCCTTGATTAATGCATTGCTAAAGTTCAAATTATTAACAAGTGCTTAAAAGAACTTTTAGGAGAGGGTTCTGGGAGAGAGAGCAGCTTTGTTTTCTGTCTGGCAAACACAACCCAGCGTAATAGTACTGATCTGTCAGGAGGAGGAAAGAGGGGAGAGGGGATGAGCTTGAGAAGAAAAGTGGTACAGAGTCAAATGGATACAAAGTGGCCACAACTGTGCAGGTGTGGACTAAAAGAAAAAAATTTTTGACACCTGGAGAAATGAGATTCTAAACCAACCTCGCAGTAGTTTACTGTGTGACACTGTTAACTGTTTTGTAGATGAAATTTTATTGTGAGTATGACAACTTAAGGCAGTATAGTCTAGTAGCCCAAGACAAGCAGTTACCGAGAAATAAACAGAGTAACCATTTCACTGTCACAAACATCCAGCACCCCGCTGCATCCCTCCTCCCTGGAAGGCCAGTGAAATTAGAGAAGGGGTAAAACAAATAGAAGGAGGTGTGTTTACTCACTGTCAACAGTCAGTCACCTTTAGCAGTGAGGGCCACACCCTGACTCAGAAGCCAAAATCATGCACTTTACAAGAAAAAAGCAGATCAGTAGATTGATTTGGAGAAAATTCATCACTACTGAATGTGAATCAGATGAAAGTGCTAGTTCAGAAATACTATAAACTTGATTACTTGAGGGATTTATCAGTCTGTTCTGTCCTGTTAACTGCTGGCCACTTTCAGAGATGAAATACTGGTCTGGGGGAAAAAAACTATGAACGTTCATGTGTTTATAGCCTTACAGTAATTCTTGCTAATACAGGAAATTCTATTCAAGTAAACCATGAGAAGAAGCAAACTTTCATACGCATTTGTTTTCCTAATGCACACAACCCTGCATACTCTTGCTTCTGTAGGGAAAACAATGTGCCAGTGCTTGTTCTGAAAGATCAGAAAGATATTGCCCTGGAAATAACAGTGACAAACAATCCATCTAATCCAAAAAATCCACAAGAAGATGGTGAAGATGCATATGAAGCTAAACTAATTGCAACTTTTCCAGACAGTCTGACGTACTCTGCATTCAGGGAGATGAGGGGTTATCCTGTAAGTATTTTTAAGAGAAAATACGTTAAAAATTTTTAAATATTTTCAGGTAATTTTAATACTGATAAATGTATTCTGTTCAATCAGGAAAAACAGCTAACGTGTGGTGCTAACCAAAATGGTTCTCAAGCAGAGTGTGAACTTGGAAATCCTTTTAAGAGAAATTCCAATGTAAGTTGCAACTATTTTACTCAAGTTGTAAAATCTCATTTCTGACTGCGGTCGTCCAAAGTTTCTGTGTGCCGGAACTGAAAATTTGATTTAGACCTGTCTTTTTAACTCCAGAACTTGATGGTGCATTTTTATAATATTGCATATATCAATATATTTTACAAAATGTTTATGTATTTCATTATATTCTTTCTTGTCTAGGTAACCTTTTATCTGATCTTAAGTACCACTAAAGTTAATGTTGATACAACAGATTTGGACATTAACCTGAAGCTGGAAACGTAAGTTTTCTTGGTGTTCATGCACATGCGCTGTGTTTTTATATACAGTCATAAACATTTTGAATTCATTTGTTCCTTTCACAGAAGTAATTTAATAGTAAAGTGAAAACCATTACATTTGTAAAATAAACACCATTGTTTCCTTTTCATTGTAGAACAAGCACTCAAGTTAATTTGACTCCAATTACAGCCAGTGCTAAAGTGGTTATTGAATTGCTTTTATCGCTCACTGGGTAAGTGTTGATAGCATAACAAATGGGGGTCTGGGGACAGTTCTGCTGCAGACTCATATAAATCTGACTATTTTCCTTCCCCACCCCCACCTGAACAGAATTGCTAAGCCTTCTCAGGTGTATTTTGGAGGTAACATCGTTGGTGAGAGTGCTATGAAATCTGAAGATAATATTGGAAGCCTCATAGAGTATGAATTCAGAGTGAGTATTTAGATAAAGTCAACAGCTGCTTTTAATCAAATGCACAGCTTATCATTTTATGCATATGAATACTTGGAAAAGTTGATATATTTGAATTGGGTTTCCTTGTACCAAATTCCTGACTTTCTTTAGGCTTTGATATTTTATGGTCATATTTTGAGGAAGTGACCTGAGTCTGTCTGTACACTTTTTTTTTTTGTGGAGCAGTTCATGCATGTTCAGTTGTAGGGCATAAACCCCCTGCAGGTAGGGAACAAAAGTCAGAGCAGAACCTGCCTGTGGCCTGCCCAGGCACTGGCTGGTGCCCACAGGCAGCGAGTTATGGGCACGTGCTGCCTGCAGGGCTGAGCTGGCACATGGAGACACCGCAAGAGCCCCTCCGAGCGTGTGAGTCTATTCCACTGGTTTCATCTTCAAATATAAATCAAGGAGAAGACTAAGAGAAAAATTAAAGTCCATCTCCATCAGTCCTTTATTTCCTTCTGTACCTGCATGCATGTATTACAGTAGCAGGAGTTAGAATAGCTGATTTAGAACTTGCTATCATGAATAGTAACACTAGGCAAGGAAAAAAGAGGTTGGGAAACAACTTTCATACTTACGAGAGCAAGAGCTGGTTATCTCTGTGTGTCAGAGTTCCTCATAACTTGCAGTTTGCCTCAGTTATGTAACTGCATGATTTGTTAACTCTAAATTGGAGTTGTCATTTCACATGAGAATAGATTTCTAAAAATCAACAATTAAAAGTTTGTTAGGGAGTTTTAAATCTTACATTTTTAAGTCCTATATTTACTTGCTATCCAAGTGTGCTACTTTTAGTATATGCTTTGTCTTTGTAGTGCTTTGACTGCCTTTCATCTGATCTAAATTTCCTGCTAGCTGCATGTTTAAAGCTTGGCCGAGTCAATAATGTTTTCAAGAAAAAAAATCCCTTTAAAAAGTATTTCACAGTTTAAAGAACGTTTGTTTTAATAGGTAACTAACTTGGGCAGACCACTGAAAACATTTGGCACTGCTTCCCTGGACATCCAGTGGCCTAAGGAAATTAATAATGGCAAATGGCTGCTTTATTTGGTGAAAATAGACTCCAAAGGCTTGGAAAAAGTCTCCTGTCAACCTGAGAATGAAATCAACATTCTGCATGTTGTGGTATGTTATGTTACCCTGTCTTCTATTCGTGAATTGGTACAAATGAAAGCACTCCACAGCACGTGATAGTAGGGCATATCAGAGCTCGCTCCAGAAGGATTTATTTTTTTATCTAAAGAAGCTCACAAGTACAATACATGAACAATGTATCAAAGATTAAGCTTATTAGGAGGCTTCATAACAGCTAATGAGGCTAATATGCTAAAGGGTAGATGCTGTGTTGGTGTGACTGGTTTTGCAATGGGCTCTCCTGGCATATGCTCTTACACAGGATGAAACTGCTGATTGCTCTAACCAATTTCATCAGCATTATTGAAATCTCTTCAATAAAAAAAACCCTGAGTTCTTACTCAGAAAACAATAAATAACTGTAAACATCTCCCCAGCCTGGAGGAATTCTTTGTAATTTTTTAAAGACAAAGGGCTTGCACTTAAATTTACTTATTTACAACAAATATAATAAAAAGAATTTCTCAGGCAATTCTTATAGGCCTGCCTTGTGCCTATCTAGCAAGATCTTTTTCCTAAAACCTAAGCCTTTTTTCTTTTTTTCATATAATTTTAAGATCATATGGGAGGAGTTTTATTTTCCACCATTAAAACCGCATGTACATAAATCCATTCTTGTCAGATCACTATATTAATATAATTTTTACTGACTGTAATTACTATACAGTTCAAAAAACCCTGCATCTGTCAGCCTCAGCGCAACCTTATTCTTTTAGCAGAGTACCATTAATACCCTTTATCTAGAACAAAAATGGAGATAGCATTGAAGGCTTTATAAATCTAAACCTCCCCTTGCCCTATTAAAGAAAATAGTCAGTTGGCCTTTCTTTAGGTAATCTCAAATTTTAGTAGCTGTCCCAACTTTACTATTAGCAATAAATGTAGGTAAATAGGGATATATAATGATGTCACTTGTGCTGATTTTGGAAGAAGAAAATACTCACTGAACTCTAGTTTCACTGGTTGTATGGGGTCAGAATTAAAAGATTCTTATGATAAACTAGTTTTTATTTATTTTTTTTCCCCTTTTAGGAATCCCATAACTCAAGAAGGAAGCGTGAGGTTGCAGAGAAGCAGATCACGGACAGCCAAGCGTTTCCTTTATTTGCAGAAAGAAAACACAAAATCTTGGTATGTAGTCTTGGATCAGATATGTCCCCCTGCACTTATAAGAGGGCTTTTCTGAGTTTGTCAGGGTGAAAGAATTTCTCTCTATCTTGTTTTTATCTTACATCCAAGTACTAATGCTTTTAAAATTTGAAATTATCTACTGATGAGAGTGAACTAGGAAAGAATATTTGCTTTGTTATCTACTTTAAAATAAACAGGTAATAGTATCTTCATGGTATTTTTCTATTGCTGTTAGTACAAACGGATACTGGTTCTTGCACATAAGTATGATGCATATAATCCAATTTTTAATCTTGGGGTGAGGTTTAAACAGTCTGTGAGAACGTGATCTTATTTACATGTAGAAATTTGTAATTGCAGGACTGCAATGTAAATGCACGGTGTGTGGACATAAAATGTCCCCTGAAGGGTTTAGACAGCAAGGCATCTATTGTGCTGCGTTCCAGACTGTGGAACAGCACTTTCTTAGAGGTAAGTCTTCTTACCTGTAATTTTTGAAAGGTCAGGGTTCTTTCCTGTTCTGTGCCTGATATCTGTATTTTATTTTGGAACAGGACTTCTCCAAAATGAATTACCTGGACGTTCTTGTTAGGGCTTCTATCAGTGTTCCTGCTGCAGCTAAGAATGTTAAACTCACAAATGAAGTTGCTCAGGTAGGTTCAGTGTTTAGTGCTAATCACGTATTATGGTTGTGATGATGCCAGCTGATCTCAAAAGACTAGGAAACAAACAAATTTAAAACAAAACTAGCTTAAAGTCTAACTTTTTAACGGAGTTTTGAATTATTGATCATTTTTACCTTTTAATTGGGTTGGGAAAATTCACTACCATATTGAAATGATACCAGTAGGTGTTCTTCTTCAAAAACATTTTGTAGAAGACATCTTGTTAGAGAAGAGATAAGACTGTATATGTTGTAGCTTTATAATTACACATGGATCTTCGGAAATGCTCTTTCCATCTTCACGTATTTTCTGTCCTTCAGGTGCGTGTTACTGTCTTTCCTGCAAAACCAGTAGCCCTTTATACGGGAGTACCTTGGTGGATCATTGCGGTGGCAATTCTTGCTGGAATACTGATGCTTGCACTGTTGGTATTCCTGCTGTGGAAGGTGAGTTTTTATTCATCTGGCTATTTTTTATTTCCTGCTCTATAACTGACAAGATAGCAAACTAATTAAGCAAATGATTAAGTATTTGGGACTCAAAATAGGGCAAAACTGCTCAAACCATACATTATTAGTTTCTCAATTTTGCAGCATTTGGAATTAAAATGGTTATATGGACAGACTTACGTAATTTTTCTGTTTTCACATCCTCAAAAGGAAGTATTTTGAGCTCTGGGCAAAATTCAAGACAAATGTTTAGAGACCATAGCTGGATACAGCTAATGGGAGCCTCTGCAGTTAGGTGTAAAACTTCATGTGAGCTGTTTACAAATGCTTTAGCAGGGCTATGTTCTCATAACATTAGAAGTACCATTAAACTGATAGTAGATAAAAATAACCAAAAGGTACAGTAATAATACACAGCCAACTGTGCTGGTGAATTTCTGTAGTATGGGCTTTTAAAAAATCTTAGGAGGAGTAAATAAGTATGTGTAGCAAAAGGTTAACAATTTGAGAAAGAAAAAAACAAGTACCTATTTTTCAAATGACCTTTGTAAAAATGCCAACTACTTGTAGTCCCAGGTATAACAGAACAGCTCTTTTATTCTTAGTTTTTACAGGGTAGACAGTTAGTATTTGCTGTTATGGGATTATTTTAGAAGGTTATTAAGAAAGAAGAGGTGAAGAAGACTATCCTGTCACTTTTTTTCCGGCAAAACTGCAGCAATTAGCTTTACTGAGGAACTACTATTTGCTGCAGGTTATTCCTCACAGGATAGTTATGACTTCCTTATTTTCTAATAAATGCCCAGCTGCTCCTGCATATGTTCCTGATGAATTAATACTTCAGGTAGGCTGTTAGGTTATAACTACTGGTGTTTTACTTCACATGAAAATACAAGCATTTTTTACACGCACACACAGCGTAAAATGCTGCTTTTGATGACAAACTCTGTGCTGTATTATGAAGGACAAACATTATACTGCAAAGACAGATACATAATTGGTTTAAGATAAAAGCTTGTGTTGAACAGGTCAAAGCAGTAATTGTTTTTGTTCTACCCTTTGTTCTTGTCTGTCCTGTGCACTGGTCCACAAACAGCTTTCTAGGCTTCTTGGACATAATTTATTGTACCTTTTCTTAAAAAAATCCAAGCAATTTATTACAAATTTACCAAAATGCCTCTAAAATAATATTGTCAGGTTATTCTGTTAATAACTTGGGTTATTCTGTTACTTTATAGATCAAGTTAGTCCAAGAAGTTCTCAGATCTAGAAACAGCTGAGTTCTTGTTATTTTTTTTTTGTTTTTGGTTGGCCTGTGGAGGGATAACAGGAAGACAGTTCACAGAGTTAATTAAAGTTAGTTTTAATAGGTTTGACATCTTCCAGTCCACAAAAATTGACTAAATACCTTGCTTCCTTGTAGTGTGGTTTCTTCAAGAGAAATAAGAAAGATCATTACGATGCCACATATCACAAGGCTGAGATCCATGCTCAGCCATCTGATAAAGAGAGGCTTACTTCTGATGCATAGTATTGATCTACTTCTGTAATTGGTAACTGATGATATTTTTTAATTTTTAGCTGTGGCACATGCTATGGTTGTGGTGGCTAACTGTGAAGCTTTTTCTGCATATGTTCTATTAACTTTTGGATTTCAAACTGTTGTACTTGCTTGCTCATGCTGTTGATAATTTTCAGCCTTTGGTGCATGTGAACACACACAGGTGTTTACCTTGGTCTAAAATACTTCTTGTTTATTTCTTTAGCAAACATATTGTTCTTTTGCAATGGGGTTTAGTCTTTTTTTTAAATTTATGTTTTAACACTACAAGTGAGTCTTTAAGCTTGCAAGACAGTAATCAACACTGTAGAGTTAAAATGTAAACATATATAAACGTGGATGATATATAAACTTGCTTTACTAACCTTTAGTGCATGCTAAAAGGTCCACGTTGCTTATAATGAGAGGGGTTTTCATAATGAGAATTTATTGCATGGAAACATCTGTTTTACTTGAGTTCTAAGGTACACTTTTCTAGGAACACACTTTGCTGAAGGTACTAGATGCTTTATGCTTCCAGAAACCTTTATTCAAATTAAGGTATCACATGCTTGTACATTATATCAGTAAGTGATGCTTGGGATCAGGGGGTGGGGAAGAATTCTTAATGAATTATGTCAAAACAGTGTGTAATGAAATCTTAACTATGAGATTGCTGAAGATTTGGTCTATGCTCACTATAACTTTTTTAATTCAGGTCCATGTAAGTTCTAATACTAAAAAAAACTCTAACTGCCAACCAAACAAAATCAAAAAACCCAGCACTCTAAACACTACGAACAAAAAGACCTTGCCACTTTAATCTTTTCTTACCCCCAGCAGTACCTAATGACAGCTGGATGGCACAATGTCTCTTAACCCTAATCTTACCTCAGTGATCTGTAAGCATGCACAGCTGAGTGTCTGCCAATCATGATCTTGGTAACATGGTGGCCATAGCTCCATTTTGTTTTGAAAATTAATTTCAATCTGTTCCTCTATATTTAAAATCAGTTTTTACAGTGGCTTTGGATAAGAAATTGCAGAGCACAAATAAACTGTACAGGATTTTATCTAGAGTGATTTCCCATGGCAAAGTAAGCAAGACTTGTGTTTCTAATACTGCATATGTGTAATTAGTTCAGATGACTATAGCTGAGATGGTGCTTTGAAAAACAAGGCCCTAGTTTAACTTTTCTTGAAGGTTCTGGAAGTCTTTTTGTAGATTTTTAAGGGTAAATCATGTCACCATGCAGGAAGACACTGAAGTACACAGTTACCTTTGATTCAGGAGAAGCAGCTTTCCTGAACTGTACCTACTTCTTTGTGTAGCAGTAAATGCTCTCATTAGATGAATGAACAGCTTTGTACTGGAGGGAATCTTTTTAAGGTGTTAGATTACCACCATATGGTCAGACTGTGCCATTTGTCTTCAAGTGCTGCTGGAACAACTAATGTACACCTGCTGCCTCACATTTTTACAGCTATGTATGCTACATTTTTGGCTTACATATTTTTCTTTTCAATTTTCTTACCTTTGTATTTTTGCAAAGGAAGAATTTAGTGCCTCTATGATTGTAGTACTTTGGCAGCAACTTAAACCTAAACTGTTCTTTTTCTCCTCTACCCCAGTGTGGGTTCTTCCAGCGTTCCAGGTACGAAGACAGTGTCCCCAGCTATCACGCTGTAAGAATTCGAAAAGAAGAGCGACAGATCAAAGATGAGACAAAACAGTGGTTCACAAAATGGAATGAAAATGAAAGTTATTCTTAGAGAAAAATGTTTTCCATCCAGAAAGTTCAGATAGAGGTTAAGCTTTTCATTAATGGAATACTGATGGAGTTAGACCTATGAACACTATGGACATTCACCATTTGATTGTAGATATTACTAATACTGAGGCTTTTATTTGCACAGTTAAAATTGCTTCAACAGACTTTATTTGCATTATTTAATTTTCAGACTGCCTCTTTCCCCTCTCAAATCTAACCCACACTTCAGAAAATACTATGTTGATTTGGGGTCTTTTCTGCAAAATATGCAAAACCACTATAGCAGACCTTTTCCTGTGATCCTGACCTTCTTCCTGGGTATGTAAGGAATGGACAATTAACGTCAAGACAGGTTCTCCATTGTTCCCTCAATGCATAGTGCTTTACAAACACACAGTGGCCTTAACACACTTTGTTCAAGTATAACTGAAGACCTGCAAGTTTGCTTTAGTCATAACCTTTACCTGCAGCAGTAGTTAGGGCTTAACAAGAAGCATCATCTTAAATTACATGTGCAATGGGTCATGTTGCTTGATTTTTTAAATTTTTTTTTTAAGATCAGATTGTGTGATTCTTGCTCACAACAAATATACACAGGTTTTTTTTAAAAAGAGAGGCTTGAATATTAGATGTACTTTTTGTATATATATATTTTAGTCATTTTTGTATTTATTTTTGTTATAAATCATTGTCTTTGACTAAATGTTAGGTCAAAGACTTAAATGAATTTTCAAATCCACTGTGTTTTTGAACTTAAGATTATGAGACCTGAGGCTTTCACTGCATTTTAATAAGTAACTGAAGGTGCCAATACTTTCTAAAAATGTAAATATTTATGCTAATAATGTGTATGGGGCCTTTCTTTTCCTGATACTTTTAAGTTTATGTGTTGTAACATCAGGTCTTGTAACATGATTTGTATATTATTGCAGACTATTTAAGGATTTGGACACCAAGCAGAAGTAGGGGTTTAGATAGAGTTTTATACTTGCTGTAAGAAAGTGAGTTCTCTCAAAACAGCTTTCCAGCTTCATAAGGACTTCCTCTTTGGCAAAAGGCATTGACTACTGCAACTGTTATACAGCACTTGAAGGAGTCTGTAGATGCCTCATTTACCTTCACTGTGTGGATCTGGAGCTGATCCACATTGAGACTACTGATTCATCTGGAATACCTGAATGTTGATAAAGTAGAACCATGATGTCGTTTATCAGTAATCTAGTTACTGTACCATAAGTGATAAAATTATTTAAAGAGTTTACTTTTTTACCCATGTTATAAAGTGTTGGTACTATTTAAGAACAAAGATTTAGTTCACAACTGTTTATTCCATGTGAAACAAAATTCTACTCAAAAAGTATGCATTTAATTGCTCATAATTTGAACTATGCAAAAACCTCTTGGTACTTTTTCCCCTCATAGGGTAAAAACCTGCTAGGAGGGCAGTTGTCAAGTGTCTTATTTTTACTACTAACTTTGAACATTAGTACGAAGGTGTGGTCACCTAAAAAGTTACAATTAATTTACTACACTCACCTTTCTTAACACTAAATAATCTCAATATGTTATGACTGATTTTTATGAACATTTGCATATGAATGTTGATGTTACCCAGTGTTTGAGCTTTTAAAATTCTAGCTTATTGCTGAAAGGCTCAGCAACATCAGAAGCCAGGCTAATCAGGGCTAAGAAGCTTAACAAATACCCCTGAATCTAAAAGCAGATTCTGGCCCTCGCCTAAGAACATGAATGTCTTAGCAGTGTTAAAGTGAAAGTTCTTGAAAAATAAGTCATGTCACTGGTATACTTTTATCTCAGACTTTCATTATACTGGCTAACAATGCTACATCATTCCATGATTAGAAATGACCTGTGGATATTTGTATAGAAGTGTGAAATAAATTTTTTTTAATTAAACATTGTCTTGGTAATAGTGATTTTATCATACTTAACTGAGGTGGCCATAGCCAAGTTCAGTAGAATATGCTGAAAGCCACAAGCTGTAACAAGTTCTCCGATTCTCGGTATTGCCATAGCTCCTGCTCCTGCCCCACGCAGAGGGGCAGACAAGGAGCTGCAGGAGATAACGCACAATCTCGTGCTCGCAGGCTCTCTGCTGCTTGCTGTGGCTGCCAGTGGTGCTCAGGGTCAGGCAGAGCCTGGAGCCTGGCAGAGCTCCAAGTGTCAGCTCCTGGCAAGGCAAGCTGCCCTCTCCTCACTCCATGCTTGCACTCACACTGCCCAGGGGACCTTCAATGCAACCAGCCTCCTAAAAATTTTCCTAAATGCTGCCAGATGAGTATTTGAGTAAGTAGGGGAGAGGGATACATCCCCCAAAATTGGTCAAGGACTTCATATACCTATCTCTATTTAGCAGTGAAAGATTGATTCTGACGGTCAGTAACACAATTGCAGGGTACAGCTTCAAGTCCACCAAAAAAACCCACAGAAAAGCCAAAAATACGCAGGGGGAAAACCCACAAAAACAACAGAGAAACAGTAGTTTATCTCTGCTTTTAAGATGTCAGCCCTCACAGGATCCTTTGCTCGCCTTTGCTGAGAGGCCTTTTGATGCAACAAAGCCTGAAGATAAGGGTTAGCTGGATATGTGCTAGGCCAGCATTTGTTGTGGGCAGGAAACTTCCAGGACTAGAACCAGAAGATGCCACTAGACCCTTCAGAGCATGTCAAAGATGTGAACTCAACCTGCATTTATTAAACAAGTATTCTCATTTACATAGGACAAGAAACATTTTTTACAAGACAAAATATGGACTGGGAGAACAGTTAAGTAGCTGATCATAAGGTTTAGTACTAATACAGTATATTGGGCTTTATATATGCTGATATATACCCTACACACATAGTACTATATATAGTATATATTATATATACAGTGGTACAGCACTACAAATAACAGTGTATGTGTATAGTATGTATATATGTACCCTTATAGAACCTAATGTACTGTATTTGCTATATATAGTGTGTGCTTGTGTGCAGTGTGTATGTATCTACATAAAAAACAGATACACTATATACCCTAAGGTACATAAGTGGGATGTGGGTAAACTGCAATATACCTTCACGTACCTTTAACTGTCAGAGCACAGGAGATGCATCTTACGAGAGAAGCTTTCAATGCAAGGGACCACCACAGCACAGTTTCAATAACGACCCGTGCAGAAGTTATATGTGGAAAAAGAGAGAACAGGGCACTTGGTTGGACGCAAATATCAGGAATCAGCCCATAAAGTGAAAGGAAACTTTTGAAAGTGGCACTGAACTACCAGTCCCCATTCAAAGCACCCATGTTCCAATGCTAATCATCATGACTGGAGTGTGTCTAAACTAATATCAACAGACCACACGGAACCAGAAAGCTGCTCATTTACAAACAGCTGAAATAACTTCTCCCAGCACAGAGTAGGCAAAGGTGGCAGCAGTTGGTTTGCAAAACTCAGGAGAACAAGCTGTCATGAAACAACCAGGCAACTGTAGCTGGCATGTGGACATGCTGGACGTGCTTCAGCTGGCCTGCCAGACAGCAGCCTGTGTGTCACAGGAAGAATGGAAGCAGTGTATTTCCCCATAGGGACTGTGTAAGCAGTTGCTTCAGTTTTTTATCCCGGTCCTCAGATGCCGTTAAATGTTTGTTTCTCTTCCCAGGCTATGGAGTCATAGACACTATACACCTTTTACAGCCTCATAAGCCTTGCTGAGTCCTAACCATGATCCTTGTGAGAAAAACACAGAAACTCCTTAGCCCAAGACACAGCCAAGGTGTGACACGGTCACTGTACACGGACTGGGGACCTGCAGTTTGCATTTTCCACACTGCAAGATAGACCTCTTTCCTCCTTTTCTTGCTCTCCAGAATGGTTGTCTGCAAGCTGCACCTTTCCAGGGCCATACCTCCCTCATCATAGAAAACAGGCAGAGAGAACAGGTGTCCTTGCTTCTGCTTACCTAAGTACTGCACACCAACATATATCCCCTTGGCACTAATAAACAGTATTTCACCTCTCAATCCCAGTGTCATCAGGGAATAGGGGAAGAAGGGACAGAAGAGTCAAATACTTTGGAAATAAGTTGATTAACAGAAATGTTTGCAAGATATTGCTTCGTTTCTTGAAGTGGAGGACTTCAGCAGTTAACAGTACAGAGCTGAGAAGTGCATCACTCCCAGGAATTTCTTTGTTGGGGTCCCTCTTCTGAGGTACCAAGCTACCAAATATCAAAATTGATCTGTGCCAATAAATCTATCTGTTGGAGATGAGAGCCTAATGTCAAAACTTCCTTAACATCTAAGTTTATCAGAAATGCTTATAATCACTCTTAACTGCTTTTTTTGGTTCATATTCTAGATATTTCTACCAGAGCAGGACAATAAACTATTAAATACACTGTTTGGTACCTCACATGTTGCATTAGCATCCTAACAGCCACTAAAGTGATTTAATGTGATCTATGGTCAAAGCGATTTTTAACCAATAGAGATGCATATGGTGCTCATTGTTGACAGATCGGGAGTCTACCTGTAAAGGCAGAAGCCCTATTTTTTCTCTGTATTTTTTTTTAATTCTTTTTTTTCCTAATAACTGAAACAAATCCCAGCCCATCCCACAGCTGGGCAAAGGGTGCGCTGTTAAGAAGACCGACTCCCCCAGGTGAGGCTCTGCCCTCCCGCCGACCCCCGGGGGCTCCGTCCCCGTCCCGTCCCGCGCTGAGCAGCGCACGGCCGAGCCCGCCGGCAGCGCTGAGCCTGAGCCTGGGCCCCCGCACCCACCGCCCCCGCCCCGGCGCCAGCGAGCACCCCGCAGCCCTGAGCCGGGCAGGCGGCGGCACCCGCCCCGCAGCGCCCCTGTACCTGTCCGTGGCGGGGCCCCTCCGGGAAGCGAGCGTCGCCTTCTCCCGGCGGGCCGTCAAGGTACCTCAGGGGCTGCCGGGCTGCTCCGGGCGCCCCCGCCCCGCTCCCTCAGAGCCGCCCTCTCCTCCGCCCACCTTCCCCTCGGGCACCTCCTCCTGGCGGCGCGGCGGAGGCGGCCTGGGCAGGGACAGGGGCCGGGGGAGCGGCGTGGCGGGAAATGGCGGCTGTGCTGGGCCGGTCTGAGCTGAGCTGAGCGAGCGGACGGACCCGCGCCATGAGGCTGCTGCGCGCTCTGCTGCGCGGGGCCGCCCCGGGCAGCGCCGCCCCGGGCACCATCCCGCAGCAGGTGGATTTCTATTCCCGCTTCTCCCCCTCGCCGCTCTCCATGAAGCAGTTTCTGGACTTCGGTGAGTCCCTGCCGGGCCGCACTCCCACCGCTGCCCCTGCTACCGCAGTTGCCTGCGAGGAGCGGGGCGGCTCCGGCCGCGACCCCCCACCCTGTCAGCGCTGCCCGCTGTTGCTTGTCTCATGTTAGTGCTGTGCTCTCTGGCAGAAAAAGGCCCTGCTTCCTTCTGGGACAAAGGAGCCCAGTTGGCGCCTTCCCGTAGAGTGGAAGTGTGACAAGGTGGAAATTCAGCTGAAAACTCCAGTTTTTGGCACCACCAGAGTAGTTGGGCGTTTTCCTGCAGAACCTGCAGGGCAGAGGGTGGGGACAGCTGTGACAGCTGGTAGTGTTAGAGCAGTGACTCAGGTGAGACTGGTTAAGCCTTTTGCAAGCTGGCAGCGTGTGACCTTTTAAGGTATATTCCAAACACAGGAATCACTTCTGAGTCACATGTCTGTGCCCTACAGAAACACCTTACCCAAAATTTGCTGGTTTAGAAGGAGCAGGATGCAGAGACCAAGAGCCATCCTGGAGGATTCGGAATCTAGCGCTGAAAATGAGCAAGTCAGTAACAGGATGCTCGGTCTTATATTCTTCACTAAAACCACTCATAATGCTTCCAGGTGTGACTGTGTGCTTGGAAACAAAATGGATCACAGCAATTGTTCTGTTCTGCTTCAAAGCAAAGACCACACAGGGAAAGGTTGTGTAAGTCTCACTGAGAACCGTTTTCAAAGCCTGAGGTTGGAGCTATTCTATAATACATTCTTTCTGTATCCAAGGTACTCTGGTGCACATAAGTGTTGCAGATAAGCATTTAACTAGTTAATAGTTGCATTGCTTTTTACATTTTTGTAAGTAAAACATAACTGAGAACTAGTCATAGAGCCCCAGACTTTGTGTAAGTAGGAAGACTTACAAAGAAAACTTTCTCTTAACTGTCCGCTGTCACTTCATCCGTCTATTCAACGTTTCATTTGTGGCAATGAAATGTATCCAACATGTAAACTCTGGATTCATACAGGAACCCCACCCTATATTCTGTTGCTACCATACTTTTAAGCAAAGAATCTTGTAATTCAGAGTTTGCTCTGACCTGTATTATTTTACCACTAAATACTGATAAAGTAATGCTTACCTTAAAATCAGTGTTTATTTTCAAGGCACACTATTCCCTTGTGTCAAAGGATAGACTACTTTTTTACTGTTAGTTACCTGAACATAAGGTAAAAATAATTTTGAAAATGTTTTTTTCTCTGTTTTGCTTAAGGATTTAATCACAGATAGTGAAAAATTAATAACAAAGGAAAAAAAAAGAGTGCAAGACAGACAGTATTTGTCTTTAAGACATTCTGTAGCCATTATAATCTGATGATGTTTTCATTAGGGATTTTTTGGTCTCCTTTCGTTCTAGGGAGAGCATTCAAAGAGGAAATAAATCTGGTAATGCTAACTTAAAATGAAATATTCCATAAGCAAATTTAGGTCTGGCTCATATACACCAGTCGTATCTTGACTTAAAAGCCCACAGTATTTTCTGTGGGAGTCTTATCCATTCTTTGCCTAGACTGTAGCTGCACAGGGAAAGACTCATTTGCCCATTCAACAAAGTCCTGCCCTAAATTGCCTTCCATATTTGACCCAGGATTGCAAAAATGCAAC